AAGAATGCTGAGTATATAGAATGTGAGAGCCTTCAATTTTCGTGCATGATGGTGCCCCCCCCAAAGTGTGTGAAAGGCCTCCCATCAAGAGGGGCTGAATTGATGGGTTTTGACAAGGTAGGACAAGGCTAGCCTGCAACTCCCTTCTTCTCTCTCCCTCTCCCATGCCTTCTCTTCCAAAGTCAAGAATCNGAGGGGCTGAATGGATGGGTTTTGACAAGCTAGGACAAGGCTAGCCTGCAACTCCCTTCTTCTCTCTCCCTCTCCCATGCTTTCTCTTCCAAAGTCAAGAACCNAATGCTGAAGAATGCTGAGTATATAGAATGTGAGAGCCTTCAATTTTCGTGCATGATGGTGCCCCCCCCAAAGTGTGTGAAAGGCCTCCCATCAAGAGGGGCTGAATTGATGGGTTTTGACAAGGTAGGACAAGGCTAGCCTGCAACTCCCTTCTTCTCTCTCCCTCTCCCATGCCTTCTCTTCCAAAGTCAAGAATCTGTGTAAGGGAGACATGGTTGCATGTAGAAATTGTCTGGGGTAGGTGTGGGAGAAGTGTAAGTGGGCCCCCAAGCAAGTGGAGCATGAAAAACAGTAGTTCTGGGCACTTCAGGCAAGCGTATCGGTACTGTGTGTTGGTACCCCGAACTCCAGAGGCAGAACTGTACCGGTACGGCATACCAGTACTCTTCTACTTCGAACCAATTTTTGTAGAATTGGCATAACGTTTGATCCAACCATTGGTTTAAGCTAAAATGTTGACACAAAATAAAAGACATCCAGATCTACAACTTTCATGTTTTAAACTATTTCAGATTCGAAGTAGATCATGGTCAAACATGAAAAAAACAGCGGTACTGTGTCAAAACCTTGGAAAACCAGTGGGCTAAACCTTCCAAAATCCATTTCTCTTGGTTTCTTCATCTTCCAAGCCTCCCAGTCCTCATTTAATGTGTTCATGCCTTCACCACACATCCATACTTGGTTGCAAGGTTCTAAAATACATGATTTACACTATAGTTACTTGCAACATCGAAAATTCAACATTATTGACAACTTTGGTTAACTCTAAGTACTTAAATGCAAAAGTTGAGTTAAAATGCATGTAATGAGGCCTTCAAATAAGCAATATTATGTGCTCATCACACACCTTGGTCATTTCCTCAGGAATTATATATCACCACAAATACCAATAAAAGTTAAAAAAAATTATATCAAGACTTGTCCATATTCAAATCCTCAAATATCAACTTTGGTCCTTCCCTTTGAGATAATCCTGGAAAATATTAAAAGTGGGGGAGTATATAATATGATAGGAAACAATTTGCTCAACGAGAAAAAATATGAATGATCAAATACTAAATAATTCAATTGATAGACAATCATAGATAGAAGAATTAAGAATCTAATTCGATAAGTCACATAACTCAATTTCTATCAAACACAGCCTCATACTTGGTTCCTCTTGGTGACATGAGAAGTGATACCTGAGCATATAAGTTCATATTTCATACTAACCAATCACATCCCGTAGGGCTGTAATTAAAATCACACTCCGTAGGACTATAATCACAATTGTACCTCACAGAACCATAATCACATTTTACNAAATCACACTCCGTAGGACTATAATCACAATTGTACCTCACAGAACCATAATCACATTTTACCAATTTTGCCCCACGTACACTTTGTGCATGTATCAATCAATTACAAAGTATTTAGCCCAACGTACATGTCAACAAATAAAATTGTCAGAATTTCGTGTCAATCAGAATAATCAATAGGAATACAAATTTCAGATAATTAAAGAATACTCTTTGTAAAGAGATTTAAAAGACAGAAGCATATTGTATACTAACTTGTACCTTAAATTACCAATGACTTCAATAGATGCGAATTTGAAATACTGCGAAACAAATAGGTAAATTTANTCCATATTCAAATCCTCAAATATCAACTTTGGTCCTTCCCTTTGAGATAATCCTGAAAAATATTAAAAGTGGGGGAGTATATAATATGATAGGAAACAATATGCTCAACGAGAAAAAATATGAATGATCAAATACTAAATAATTCAATTGATAGACAATCATAGATAGAAGAATTAAGAATCCAATTCGATAAGTCACATAACTCAATTTCTATCAAACACAACCTCATAATTGGTTCCTCTTGGTGACATGAGAAGTGATACCTGAGCATATAAGTTCATATTTCATACTAACCAATCACATCCCGTAGGGCTGTAATTACAATCACACCCCGTAGGACTATAATCACAATCGTACCTCACAGAACCATAATCACATTTTACCAATTTTGCCCCACGTACACTTTGTGCATGTATCAATCAATTATAAAGTATTTAGCCCAACGTACATGTCAACCAATAAAATTGTCAGAATTTCGTGTCAATCAGAATAATCAATAGGAATACAAATTTCAGATAATTAAAGAATACTCTTTGTAAATAGATTTAAAAGACAGAAGCATATTGTATACTAACTCGTACCTTAAATTGCCAATGACTTCAATAGATGCGAATTTGAAATACTGCGAAACAAATAGGTAAATTTAACAATGATTTAAATTAAAATTATCGATCAATTTTTGGCCCCAAAATCTCATATAATTTTCTTCATTTCTTTCTTTTTTTTTCTTTCTTCCTCTCTCCTTTCTTTTTCTTCCTCTCTTCTCTCTCTCTTTTCTTCTCTTGCTGCCTTTGCTCGAATAGTCAAGTATTGGCTATTTATAGCCAAGAACTCACCCCCCCCCCAACGTCACCTAATGACATAAGTACATTGACATCACTATGGACAATTGTCCATACCTTGTTCATAATTTTTTTTTCTAATAGACCACGTATCTATGGTTATCTATATATATATACACTCACATATATTCTATATGTAATGTATTACTTATATATTATATCACATTTTATTTTTAATACAAANCAAGTATTGGCTATTTATAGCCAAGAACTCACCCCCCCCCCAACGTCACCTAATGACATAAGTACATTGACATCACTATGGACAATTGTCCATACCTTGTTCATAATTTTTTTTTCTAATAGACCACGTATCTATGGTTATCTATATATATATACACTCACATATATTCTATATGTAATGTATTACTTATATATTATATCACATTTTATTTTTAATACAAAATATGACTTATATTACACTTATTTGACTCATTTTTATATAAATAAATCATAATTGAAGTCCATTTATTTATTTAAGATTTTAAAAAATAGCATGTAGTTATATAGAATAATAATTGACGACCTAGTTAGCATATTAATGACAAATTGTTATACGAGACGTTAGATTTTCTTTAAAAGACAAAACCCTATAAATGTTCAGGGAATAATTTTAGGGCTTATTGCTAAGGAAGATGAAGTGGTTTTTAAAGNTTTCTTTAAAAGACAAAACCCTATAAATGTTCAGGGAATAATTTTAGGGCTTATTGCTAAGGAAGATGAAGTGGTTTTTAAAGAAGAAGAAGAAGCCCAAACATTTTTCGAAAATGAAGTGCTTAACAAATAAATTTTAGTGCATCTAATTAATTAATTAATATATATTCCTAAAACCGTTTTAGAAAAGTAAATTTTATGAAGAAGAGATTTCGAATTAAATGACCCTAAATTTCANAGAAGAAGAAGAAGCCCAAACATTTTTCGAAAATGAAGTGCTTAACAAATAAATTTCAGTGCATCTAATTAATTAATTAATATATATTCCTAAAACCGTTTTAGAAAAGTAAATTTTTTGAAGAAGAGATTTCGAATTAAATGACCCTAAATTTCAGCGTCTAAGATGAATGTCTTATTACAGATTTTAGGAAATAAAATTTTACAAAATGGGCATTTACGTCTTTGTATCTCAATAGTATACTTTTTTTTAAATAATTTTTTTATATATTTTTTTACAATTATGTCTAATTTAGTATACAGACTTCCAAAATACCCTTATAAATTTTCCTTAAAGTTTTTTCCCAGNATAAAATTTTACAAAATGGGCATTTACGTCTTTGTATCTCAATAGTATACTTTTTTCTAAAATAATTTTTTTATATATTTTTTTACAATTATGTCTTAAAGTTTTTCCCTTAAAGTTTTTTCCCGGCCCAAACAACTCAATACCCATGTAAATATGGTTTCCTTGGCAAATTTAGGCCTTCGAAATGCTGGACACCAGAGTCGAGATTACTTGGGCCACTANCCTTAAAGTTTTTTCCCAGCCCAAACAACTCAATACCCATGTAAATATGGTTTCCTTGGCAAATTTAGGCCTTCGAAATGCTGGACACCAGAGTCGAGATTACTTGGGCCACTAGATTATGAATTTACTCAGTAGGTGAAATGGACAAGAAGAGTTTTGTCTGAAATTTGTGCCCTTCATGATTGGATTCGACTTGGCCGGCCCAGCAACTTGGCGTTAACGAAGTAAACATTGATGCCAAGCTTGTGATGTAGAAAGTCCACGATAGTAAATAAATTCATGATCCAGTGGGAATAAATATTGATGCAAAGGTTGTGATATACCAAGTCCATGACAATAAAATATATTTTTTCATACAAATTTAACATTTGATTATTTTTTTTTGCATAAAGTGATTGTTTTCACATTTGAAAGCATAACGCTAAAATTATTAGGCTAACTTAAATAATCCTTTTGGATGCCTCAAGTTAAATACTTTTGTCCTGTCGGCGACGAGATAGATGCTCCATTCTTATGAAAGACAACAGCAGCAATCTCGATGGTGTGAATGATGCAAATCACTATGCAAACAAGTATTAAAAAGAATATCCGAATTCTTCTGTCGATGCAAAAGAGGAAGAGCTCTCTTATAAGTATTACCATTCATTCTGCCTCTTAGAAAATTTCCTTTGAACTTGTCCCTCTCTAGCTAGCTGTACACATGCCAATACATACACCATTCTATGGGCAAACGTTTCTTTTGACATTCAATAACCCGCACAAGGGAAGATGAAAGCAAGAGGAGAACCTTTCAAGGTTCTATCCTTCGTGTGTATTATTACCTTCCTTATTTGCAGTTATAAAGTCGATTCAGCTTCACCAGAAAGTTATACAGGTTCTCTTCCTTTCTGCTTTTAGTTTTTTTGCTGTTCATAGTGTTCTCTATTTGTTGGATGAATGTTTTAGTGTAAACATATAAAGTGCTAGAAGGGGAGAGAAAGATGTGTCTTCGAAGGTGTGATTTGAGTAGATATTCAATATGATACTATTGACATGTGCATAATATAACCAATCGATAAACTGACATATGGATTAGTAAATATTCATATCCATATATGGGTAGTTATTATATTATATTTGTAATTGTAGTTTATTATTGAATGACGGTATCATATATTACCTTTAATCGTTATAAGGTATTAGTATTATCCTTGTATTAAATATTTATAAAGGACACTCATTAGTCAACTAGATAATGAGTGGTCATTTGGTTGGTCTTTTCTTTTCATTATAAAATTGGAGTATAGTAAAATTTAATATTGCAAGTAATGGCAACTCAAGAGGTTACCCAACGCCTTAGTGGCTAGTTCTGCCATGAGGATGAGGTCGGTTTCAGAATTGAAAAAAAATAACATTGCTGGAGAAGATTAAATGAAAATAACCTTTTTTTCCCTTTTTGGGCAAGATAATTGTTACTCTCCATAAGTCTTTACATGGACTTAACTTGCTTTTCGTTCTGAAATAGTTTATGATCAGACTAGCTAAAACAAAACTAGTTGTACATCTGCAGCTTGTCCATTAAAACTCAATGAGTACCCCTACCAGCCAACTGGTGATTGCATTGGTGACAAAAAGAAAATCAAAGTTTGGGACAGTTTCTCTACAACCCTTTGCTGTCGAAACGCCCTCGCTGTTTTGTCACAGGCCTTAGCCCTACAGGCAAGAGTTGGAGAGGGAAGCAACTTCATCCAGGAAAACCAATGGAGAAACTGTAACGACTTGTTCCCACAGCAACAATCTGTTTCGATTCAATCCTGTGGGTTTGATCACTTCTTTTATGGGAGCAGCCAATGTTCTAGCCTTTCTTTGTCGACCATTAATGGGATTCGGGGGAATGCCTCAAAACAGTGTGCTCAATTTAGCTCTCCATCATTTGATACTGCTTGTGGGAATTGTGTCGAAGCAATAAAACAAGAAAGGGATGATCTGTTGAAGAATCTGAAGGCAAAGGGAAATAATACCGAAAAGGCCATATGTGGAGTGGCAGTTGTTATTTCTGTTGCAGCTGCAGAACACAATGATTCCTTTGTGATCGATGATTATTACAGGTGTTTGCATGCTTTGGATACCTTGGGTATGGCTTGAACAAAATATTAGCTAGTTCTCATACTTAATATATTGATCTAATTTGTTTATGTCTGAATGGGATTGCACAATTAATTGATTTAAAGTTAGTCCATAGTGGTGGTAATAATTGGTTAATGATTTTATCCTATCCTTATTATATCATATTTGGGTCAAGGCTTGGATAAGGTGTGCATCCGTTATTTTAATATCAATTTCACATAGAGATTAACGTATGATAGTAAGATAAAAAAAAAAAACTCTAGACAATGAATAATCCTCTAACTANTTTCTTTGTCGACCATTAATGGGATTCGGGGGAATGCCTCAAAACAGTGTGCTCAATTTAGCTCTCCATCATTTGATACTGCTTGTAGGAATTGTGTCGAAGCAATAAAACAAGAAAGGGATGATCTGTTGAAGAATCTGAAGGCAAAGGGAAATAATACCGAAAAGGCCATATGTGGAGTGGCAGTTGTTATTTCTGTTGCAGCTGCAGAACACAATGATTCCTTTGTGATCGATGATTATTACAGGTGTTTGCATGCTTTGGATACCTTGGGTATGGCTTGAACAAAATATTAGCTAGTTCTCATACTTAATATATTGATCTAATTTGTTTATGTCTGAATGGGATTGCACAATTAATTGATTTAAAGTTAGTCCATAGTGGTGGTAATAATTGGTTAATGATTTTATCCTATCCTTATTATATCATATTTGGGTCAAGGCTTGGATAAGGTGTGCATCCGTTATTTTAATATCAATTTCACATAGAGATTAACGTATGATAGTAAGATAAAAAAAAAAAACTCTAGACAATGAATAATCCTCTAACTAGTAGGGGAACTCTTATTCTTTTGGATATTAATAACAGCTATCTCTTATTGAATACCACCTATATGATATAAGTTTATACCAAATTTGGGTTGTTACTGTCACTTTAGCATCCGATCGTACTAACAAAATTTAAGATTGAATCTTATAATTTGATCCAAACTTAGAATTAAGTGATGATTAGACTAATTTAGTTGAGTCCCAACGCATAATACCCCAACCAAACGTACCCTTACTACCATTTGATTGATAGTAAAAGGATAGGGACTGATATTTACTACTGTCCGCCTTAGAGTTTCTCAGTTATGATTTGGAATGAGACATCAAGTTAATTATCTTTCCTTATTTTGACTTGTGTATTTTGTTTCTCCACAGAAGGATCGGGTCACATCAAGCTCAAACGTAAGTCTGCCTTTATTTTCCATAACTTAATGTATGTTTTATATTATAGGGTAAATTATACTTTGATCACATTTTAAAGTTGGATTTGATTTTACTTTAATCTTTGAATTATTGCATATTGAGAATGAACTCTTTTCAGTCGGCCTGTAAACAATTGTTTGTCAAAGTTTGAGAATTACACAAATACACAAATTAATGTTGAGGATTCTCAATAAGTTAGTGTAACTGTCAAGTTTTGATTGACTGCATGTAAAAATTTGATTTACAGACTTGTCTGTAAAGAATTTATTCTCTTACATTTTTTACATTGTTTTATCAACAACTTGAATTGATTTCACGCTATGTTTGGATGCAAACATCGGNTTTGATCACATTTTAAAGTTGGATTTGATTTTACTTTAATCTTTGAATTATTGCATTTTGAGAATGAACTCTTTTCAGTTGGCCTGTAAACAATTGTTTGTCAAAGTTTGAGAATTACACAAACGCACAAATTAATGTTGAGGATTCTCAATAAGTTAGTGTAATTGTCAAGTTTTGATTGACTACATGTAAATATTTGATTTACAGATTTGCCTGTAAAGAATTTATTTTCTTACATTTTTTACATTGTTTTATCAACAACTTGAATTGATTTCACGCTATGTTTGGATGCAAACATCAGTCATCTTTTGCACAAAAATTGTCAATGTATCTGAGACAAAGTGATCAAACCATGGAGTTTGAGAAAGCAAAATAAAACAACTTTTCATCAAATTTATAACTGATATTAATTATTGGGGCAAAGTGGAATCAATAACATAGTTGAATATACAATATAATAAATATGACAATTGAGGGGGTAATATAAGCAAAGTGTCATAGTTTAGGGGTCAAAGGATAATTTAACCTATATTTGAGAATAGATTCCACTTGATAATTTAACCAGTATATTGTAGTTTAACCAGGTTATGTAGTTTAGGGGTCAAAGAATACAAAGTATATTGTACTAAAATTGTATATCTATAAAGTCCAAATCGTATTTTTAAATTTTCAATCTAAGAGTCTCGTTGAAATAGTTATTCCATAGTGATTATATAATGAAATTGAGTTGTATAAACTGGTCTAAAATTATTTAGAGTCAAAATTAATGTAAAATGTTTGAACAATACAATTTACTGTATTGAAGTAGGTATGCAGTAGGCTTGTGTTTCTTCTTCATTAGCTATTCCTCACAGGTATTGCATTGCTCTTGTGTGTGTGCTACGTTAGCTATTACTCACAGGTATTGCATCACTCTTGTTTCAGATTATGTGCCCAAAATAATTCTAGGAGTGATCGTAGCAACAATTCTGCTATTACTAGTCATCATGGTGATAAAATATCTGATCAAGAATAAAAACAAACGTGACCATAACCCGGTTCGAAACGGAGAGTTTGATGGATGCTCTGGCATTTATAGATTCTCCAAGGCCGAGATAGAGAATGCCATGAAATTTGGCAACGAAAGGAAGTGCCTGGGACGCGGAAGTGCCGGGCAAGTTTATAAGGGCATTCTACCCAGTGGACAAGTTGTGGCCATCAAGCAGATATATGACAGCAACAGGTCTGGTTCTTTTAGTCGGGAGGTTGAAGGTCTTTCGAAGGTTCGGCATCCGAACCTAGTCTATCTCTTTGGTTGCTGTGTTGAAGGTGGCGAGCAGTACTTAGTCTATGAGTATTGTTCAGAGGGAAATCTAGCTCAACGTCTCCTAAGTAATTTTTTTTTTCATTTCTCTTAGTTGTGAAGCAGTTATTTATTTGAGAATAGATTCTTTACGTCAGCCTACGAACAAATTGTTTGTAGCCACTTAATTAAAATTGAGGAGTTACACAAATTTATTGAGAATCTTCAATATTGATTTACATGTTTTTGTAATTCCTTAATTTAAANATAGATTCTTTACGTCAGCCTACGAACAAATTGTTTGTAGCCACTTAATTAAAATTAAGGAGTTACACAAACTTATTGAGAATCCTCAATATTGATTTACATGTTTTTGTAATTCCTTAATTTAGATTGACTACATGCTTGTCTGTAAAGAATTTAATCCCTATTTTCAGATCCGGTTTAGTATTATTTTATCTCAATTTTTTTTGTTAAGAGATTACTCACTATAAAGACCCGGTTGGATATAGTGGATCCCACTTAAATTTATGAGTGATCTATAACTGGAAAAAATGGAGAAATTGTATATTACATCCCTTTTCCTTTACTCATCATATTTCTTCCTTTAGCGATATTTTATACTTATTCTGTATGTCCTCATACAGGAAAGGACGCTGGCCTAACATGGAAACAAAGAGTAAAGATCTTGAGGGACTGTGCACTTGCACTTAGGTATCTCCATCATTATGTAGATGGTGGTTGCATTGTCCACAGAGATATTAAGGTAATGAACACGATGCCTAAGTTTTTTGTGTTCTATATAAGTCCTTATCCTCACATTTCAATGTGCATTGCATCCGAAGAATTATTCATTGGAAATGATATCTTCATAAAAAAACACAGGAACCCCTCTTTGTGAAGAACTAGATCCTTTTATACTTTCTAAACAATGTTTCATTGTCTATTCATAGCTTACGAACATCCTTTTGACTGAGAAGTTGGAACCGAAGCTCTCTGATTTTGGGTTGGCAAAGCTGTTGGGGATGGATGAGAGCAACGTATATACAGATGTTCGGGGAACCCTTGGCTATATGGACCCCGAGTACATGAGCAATGCCAAGCTGACTTGTGCTAGTGACATCTACAGTTTTGGTATAGTTGCACTCCAAGTTCTGTCCGGACAGAAAGTAATTGAACTGGATCTTGATGCCAGAGACCAATTAACAAGAAAGGTACTTCATATTAGTGTCTAATATATATAAATTGGCAAAATATCATCACTATCCTTCCCTGCAGTCAGCGTTTTATATCCCTTAGGTCTCCAAATCTTTTAATTCTGTCAATATGGTTCCTTAAATTTTCAATTTGGTCCTTTTGATTATCAAAAACGCTCTCTTGTGCCTCACGTGACTACATTAAAAAGGACACTTAAGTCTCTCAAGTTTGTAATGTGTGTTATTTTGGTCATTCACGTCGCTCTATGAACACAAATTATATTTGAATTGGATCCTAGCTAATTTGAATCCAAATAAAAAATTCTAGACCAAATATGATCTATTTATTTGACGGATATCTCAATCTCAGTACATATTCGAATTAGCTAAAAATTTGACATCTGATCCGATAATCCAATTTGACCCTATCCGAATAAATTGATTTTCAATAACATTTAATCAAACAATCTGGAATGTCGCCAAATTAAACCTGAATTTCAACATATTATATCAATATATCATTCAAATTCAACATATTTGGTTCAATTACATCTCCATCATATCAATAACCCAAACAATTGAACAACAAAAAATAAAAAAAATACAAATCACTGAAGAAAAGCTATACATTTGAGTCATCTTCAAACCAATTAGAAACCCTACTTTTTCATCTTCAACCAGTAAGAATTCTACCATTCTACCATGTTCAAAAATCTCAAAGCACGAAGAGTACTTCTACAAAACACCAATATTCAACGCCAATTTTTGGAAAACAAAGCCTACCTCAATACCCATGAGCTTAATCACAAATCCAAACAAACCACAATGTTTTGTCCAAAAAGGAAGAAAGGGGAAGAGGATGGTAAAATCGAGAGTCAGAAAGATGCAACGAGCATAATATAAAGGCATAGAGGCAAAAACAATAGCAAAGACGAAGTAACAAATGAAAAAGAAAGTAGGAAACGAGATGGGTTGCTGGAGAAGGGAAAAGGATGGCAACCTGGTAGAGAAGATATACTTGGGTTACAATTTGTCTAAAAAGCTTTTATATATATATATATATATATATGGAATTCGGATCGAATCAGATTTGTATGTTTTGTATGTATCCAAATTTGAATCCAATGTAAGAGGTCTAAATAGATTCGGATTGATGGATTGAAATTTTGATTCATATTCNTATATATATATATATGGAATTCGGATCGAATCAGATTTGTATGTTTTGTATGTATCTAAATTTGAATCCAATGTAAGAGGTCTAAATAGATTCGGATTGATGGATTGAAATTTTGATTCATATTCGGATATAAGAGTTTGAATTCAAATCGATATCCGATCCATTGATAGGTTCTTCATCTTTACAATTTCTATCATTTTAGTTGCTTATGTTTTCAAAAAATGTTCTTCTAGTGTGACCATATGAGATGCACATGACCGTATCTATTGTCGATTTAAACTGCCATTTTCGATTGTACTAAAGTGACATAAAATTGAATATTTGAGGGATTGAAATGAAAAAAGTTTAAAGATTGGATACCAAATTAACACAGAATGCATAATTTGGAAAACCAAAATTAATTTTTTTCCTATACAAATACACGCAGTTGTAAGAGAGAGAAAAACCACCTACCTAGTTCACTACACAAACCAACCTAATTCAATTAAGCGGGATCTTTCATTAACATTTTCTTTCCTATCAAGAACATGTTATAGAACTTTTAGGAGCCTGAATTTGGAGTATCCTACTTTCATGCAATTTCTAGGATTCAACAAGCAATCAATCTTTACCAAGGTGTAATGCAAGCTTATGCAGGCAAAGGATGTGAGCATGGGAAAACGGCCGCTAAAGGATTTTGAAGACCCACAGCTACATGGAAATCTAAACAATGTGGACTTTGAATCCATATTGCATATTGCAGTGTTGTGTGTCGCCAAATCAAGTAAGGGCCGGCNGTGGACTTTGAATCCATATTGCATATTGCAGTGTTGTGTGTCGCCAAATCAAGTAAAGGTCGACNGACCCACAGCTACATGGAAATCTAAACAATGTGGACTTTGAATCCATATTGCATATTGCAGTGTTGTGTGTCGCCAAATCAAGTAAGGGCCGGCCAACAATAGATGTGGTCTTTGATGAGTTGGAGAAGGCATGGAAGAACACAGATGTTAACATAGTTGAGATTCTCAACTCTCTTTCCTAATATAAGTGACAATTTTTAGCTAAATCATTCTAAGAAATTATTCATTTTGTTCAATTGTAGAGCACAAGGAGGCAAATAAGGAGCTCATCAGCAACACCACAGTCCAGATCACTAGAAGTTCTACCAGTCTGAAAGATAATAGTGTGTTTGAAGTAGGGTTTTGTGAAAGCTTATGGATGTGTCTTTATAGATATTATGGAACAATAAATTGGTTAGCATTACTAAATTTATCTTATCATATCAATCCATTGTAATTACCTATAATTATGGAAATATGTGTATGTAGTTCCACCAACATTGTCCTGAGTAAAAAAACCCTACGTTTTTGTAATCTCAACAGTAAAATCATATTGGTGAGAATGTAGTCCGATATGGCTTTGGCTTGTGTTTCAATTACAGGGGTGATCAAGTTGTCTGCACCAATCTAGTCCTATCATTTAGTTGTTCTTTATTAAAGATGGGAACGTGAATATAAAACATTGCTTGGAAAAGCATAAATTTTGGGGGTTGGTGTTACAAGAATGACATTTTTCGTTGTTCCAAATGTTGGCCATGACCGCCATAAAAATCCATTAGCTAGGAAATATTCCTCCAGCATCTAATTCTTCTAGACCTAACTTCATGTTGGAAAGTTGAAAAAAATAATTAACTGCATATACCACAAAGTATACTCTTTATTATAGGATTGAAACAATCATCTTGACCTAGTTCACATTTCACCAAATGGATAAGAAAATTAATTTCCACCCACATGTTAGAGAAAAAGAAAGAGTAAGGCCTTGCAACTTGCCAAGCTCTTCCAGGAAGGGGAATCTTGAGAATGATAAATTTCTAAAATTTCTCAAGATGAGTCTTCTTTAATTCTAGTTAACATTATTGACAAAGTTGTCTGAAGCAAGAATACAGAAGAATTTATACATGTAAAAAGTTTCACTCTCTTTTTCTCCATTGCAATTATATTTACTACAAGTAAAAAACTTTTTATCTCGAACATGATGATTTCTAAAAGTCCAAATTTCATCATTATAAAAATTCCATGATGAATAAATTTCGTCGCTTATTTTTCGCAATAACTTCGTCTGAAGGTCTTTTGTGACCACCAAAATTTATCTCAAGAAAAATACTATGAGAGACAAATAATTCATCACTAATAGTCAGTATTCACAACCAAAGTGAAACGATAACAAGAGATCAAGTCAATTTTTTTTTTAAGGTTCAATTAGAGCTTGTCATAGCTTGTTGACCTGCACTTTGATTGAAAAAAAATCTTGATGTGTCTTGCAAAGGAGCATTGGGTGTTTATGATGGGCTTCCTTGTAGATTGTTTTTTGCAATCACTCTTTGAGAGATTTTGNTTAGTTGTTCTTTATTAAAGATGGGAACGTGAATATAAAACATTGCTTGGAAAAGCATAAAGTTTGGGGGTTGGTGTTACAAGAATGACATTTTTCGTTGTTCCAAATGTTGGCCATGACCGCCATAAAAATCCATTAGCTAGGAAATATTCCTCCAGCATCTAATTCTTCTAGACCTAACTTCATGTTGGAAAGTTGAAAAAAATAATTAACTGCATATACCACAAAGTATACTCTTTATTATAGGATTGAAACAATCATCTTGACCTAGTTCACATTTCACCAAATGGATAAGAAAATTAATTTCCACCCACATGTTAGAGAAAAAGAAAGAGTAAGGCCTTGCAACTTGCCAAGCTCTTCCAGGAAGGGGAATCTTGAGAATGATAAATTTCTAAAATTTCTCAAGATGAGTCTTCTTTAATTCTAGTTAACATTATTGACAAAGTTGTCTGAAGCAAGAATACATAAGAATTTATACATGTAAAAAGTTTCACTCTCTTTTTCTCCAATGCAATTATATTTACTACAAGTAAAAAAAATTTTATCTCGAACATGTTGATTTCTAAAAGTCCAAATTTCATCATTATAAAAATTCCATGATGAATAAATTTCGTCGCTTATTTTTTGNGGGGGGGGGGGGGACTTCGAGGGTCGACCCTTTGATGCTTAATTAATTATTTGCCAGAAAATTTCTTAACATATGTTCAAGGGTTGGAATTGAAAACCGTCGGTCTTTCCCCTAGGCTCCTTTTTATAATAGTTTAAATGGATGGTTGCTTAGGGNTAACTTCGTCTGAAGGTCTTTTGTGACCACCAAAATTTATCTCAAGAAAAATACTATGAGAGACAAATAATTCATCACTAATAGTCAGTATTCACAACCAAAGTGAAACGATAACAAGAGATCAAGTCAATTTTTTTTTAAGGTTCAATTAGAGCTTATCATAGCTTGTTGACCTGCACTTTGATTGAAAAAAAATCTTGATGTATCTTGCAAAGGAGCATTGGGTGTTTATGATGGGCTTCCTTGTAGATTGTTTTTTGCAATCACTCTTTGAGAGATTTCGNGGGTGGACTCTAGGCTCCTCAATCAATCTAAAGAGATTTAAACTCCATATTATTGCAGAGATTGGCTTTCCTTATCCTTGTAGGGCTCCCTTTATACTTGGAGTCTGTTCTCCAAAGTGGCAGGAAGGACTTCTCTTCACGAAGGAGTCTTTTGAATCCTCAATACATTGATAATTAGGGGCGGNAGATTAAATAGGGGTGAAAATTTTAATTTCAGCAAAAGTTATTGGGAGCATAGTTTCGGAAAACACTAAAAGTTTCCTAGCTTGTTTGTTAAGACAAATTATTTCATATTTTTAGAAGATTTACGTTATGAATATTAGTTGCAGACAAGCTTGGTGAGGAAAAGAAAATGCTACTAAACAATTGATGGGACAACAAAAAATTCCTAGATGGATAAGTATACATAATTAACCTCGACTTACCAAGGGTGAGAATTTAGAGTAGGTAACATTGCATAGATTTAAAAATTAAAACATGTAACTACCAAGAAAGGTGTTTTCTACTCTGTTGTTGCCTAAATCTTACCTTCCAAGAATCTTTCCATAGTTGGTGTTAGTGCAAAATTTGTCCAAATCTTTATGAAAGCTGGTTAATTGATTGCCTTGCTCTTTGTCATCTTTTCAGGGGTCTGATTAGTTTTCTGATGGATGGGCTAAGCTCTCTAGGGCTCCAAATGAGATTTTCGCAAGTTGAGAGGCCTGAAAAGAAGTTAGAGACCGGGGGGGGGGGGGACTTCGGGGGTCGACCCTTTGATGCTTAATTAATTATTTGCCAGAAAATTTCTTAACATATGTTTAGGGGTTGGAATTGAAAACCGCCGGTCTTTCCCCTAGGCTCCTTTTTATAATAGTTTAAATGGATGGTTGCTTAGGGGTGGACTCTAGGCTCCTCAATCAATCTAAAGAGATTTAAACTCCATATTATTGCAGAGATTGGCTTTCCTTATCCTTGTAGGGCTCCCTTTATACTTGGAGTCTGTTCTCCAAAGTGGCAGGAAGGACTTCTCTTCACGAAGGAGTCTTTTGAATCCTCAATACATTGATAATTAGGGGCGGAGACTCTTATAGGAAACGACTTTTGCAGAATAATCGCATTAGTAGGGAACGGGTGGTAGGTCTTCAATTCCTCACAAATACCCCGAACTTGAGAGTAATAATCTTTGAGACTCAGAGTACCTTGCTCTAGGTTAAAATACTATTTGTACACCTCATAAGCCCGAGTCAAATTACCTGTGCCAGAATACATGGTGGTCAAGTGATCCCAAATTTATTTGGCCGTGTCAAGATAAAGTAACCTGAGAGATCTTTAGTCCTTTCAACCATTTCCCCTCCAAATATGAGCTATTGACTTTGATTGAAGGGTTTTTGATTTTCAATAGTGGATAATCTTATCTTCATGCCTTCTTGTTGAGGCCGTAACATTGCATATTACATAACTTAATGTATCTTAGTTTCACAAATGTTTAACGTTTAATCCTTTTAACTGTGTTGAAATTTGGTGTAATGGGTGTATTTGTGATTATAGGTACAAATGCAGATGAAAGAAAACATAGGGTGGCAAACATAAGGTCATGAGAAATCACTAGAATGAGGAGGAGTTGAAGTAGAGGAGCCAGAATGGAGAAAATAAAAAATAGACAAACCAACCGATTGAACTTCAACCAGTTCATTAGGTTGACAGAAGAGCTTTAACCGGTTGAACCTTTGAACCGGTTGAAGAGGCTACAAAAGTTATTATGAGAGAGCTACACCAAGATTCTGAGAAATCTTCAACTGGTTGAACACCTACGTTCAATCGCTTTATTAGAGTTTATTAGCCATGAAACAAGATACAGTATACCTTTCAATCAGNAACTTCAACCAGTTCATTAGGTTGACAGAAGAGCTTTAACCGGTTGAACCTTTGAACCGGTTGAAGAGGCTACAAAAGTTATTATGAGAGAGCTACACCAAGATTCTGAGAAATCTTCAACTGGTTGAACACCTATGTTCAATCGCTTTATTAGAGTTTATCAGCCATGAAACAAGATACAGTATACCTTTCAATCAGTTCATCAAGCAATTCAACCGGTTAAACTCCTTTTTCAACCGGTTGATCATATAGCGGTTATAACACACATTTCTCCTAGTTTTGATTAGTCCATGATGGTCGGCTACCTTCACTCCTAAACTTAAGGAGAGGCTACCAATACCCATGAGCTAGTTTGCCATTGGTTGATGGTACCTCCCATTTTTCACGTAAGCATCTCGATTGGTCGATGATGGCAGAAGAAGTTTCTTCGGATGAACTCCCATGACTCAAGCCTCACCTTTGGCCAATGAAGAAAAGGGACATTAGGGACCAATGTTATATATATATATAGGGGTTGGAGAGTCTTTGAGAGTTCTTTTTTGTTAGTTTTACTTCATTTAGAAGTTTAGCATTTTCAAAGCTTCCCCGAGCTTCGAAGAAGACAACTGTGGTTTTCATTTCAAAGCTTACTTGTTGAATTTTATTCTTGTATTTGAACTTAGTGTTGTGAAGCAATTCTAGTTGAAGTATTTCCTTTCCATTCTCTTGTTCATTTATGAA